AACTTTAACCCTATAACATTCAACTCTAAAACATTTCACAGCTAAACGCACAGGAAAGTCACTCCCAGGTCATTTCTTCTTATGTCACACACACTTCTTGATTCAAGTGTAATGATGGCGCAGTGTCACAAACGAACACAAGCCAGTTTAACAGCACACAGAGGCGTGGAACACGAATTGGACACATTCAATCCAGAGAAATGTATTCATTTCTCATTTCAATAATCCAGTGCTGCAGGCTAAAATGCTGACCTTTATGAGGAGGAACATACACTTCCAATTACCCACGATCCTCCGAGGCTGTCTTTGAACACTCTGCTGAACTTTGATAAACATTTATAATAGAAATAAGAATTTTAAGTGCATCAATTACTGAAACCTCCATTTTTTTACTTAAATTGTACTAAAATTAATATTGTTTTTTTCCCGTAATTTTACTATGACAGCAAGTCGAGCAACATCATAAGTTTGAAAGTATTTTAAGAAATTAATTGAATTCAAATGACTGCAAGACTTTTAACTGCCTGAGAACTTCTGCCCTTATATTAATAGAAAGCGAAAGCCATGGATTGGAATCGCCGCCTCTCTGGAGCTCAGCCTCAATTACTGAACTGAAGAAGAAAACGCAATGACCAATAATACATTACATCATTATCTGGGTCACGACAATCCCTTACGAAGAACATCACTGCTTCAATAACCAAAGGCCGTCTGAGAGATAGTCAAGATTCTCCGCTTCACTTCTCAATTTGAAACCCATTTCAGACAAGAGCCTTTCACTCAAGTCAGCGGCTGATTATTAAACCCTTCAGTTACAGTTTGAGCCTTTGGATCTACTGTAACTGTAACAAAATCAGGTCACTCTCTGCATGTCAGGCCTTTCCAAGTTCTATCTATGAGCAGAAAGTGCAAGTGCCTTCAGATAGAAGCACAAACTTCATATCTTGAAATCATAAAATGCCTTCCTAGACAGCTTTTGAAAGCATTATAGGCGCTCAAGACACAAACACTGCTCCAAAAGGTTGGAAGAAATGATGCGGTCTTCTAAGATGTCAAAATCTGAAGTTGCATCATGTGTATCTGAAGACAGCTTCCTATGCAGCCTCATCTCATTTAGTATTCATATGTTAAGTTTAGATGGTTTTATAGACACTGAAGCATATTATATAGACGTAGTGACAACAACTAACATATAGAAGTATTTATGTACACTCAGCTTTAGAAACATAAAATAACCTATAGTCCCTCCCCTAACCGAAACACTTCTCAACAACAGCGTTATTTACTATTAAAGTAATAATTCATATTTAAAATTAGTAATATATATATTAAGTTTTCTTTTTCATTTTAGTAATTTTGTCATGTGCTTTTGTCATCTATTTCGGTTTTAGTTATTTGTGTACTTCAACTTAAACCTGTTTTATTTTAATTAGTTATTCCAGTTAGTAACATCTCTAATTTTCTGAGTTTTTATTTTATATTTTACTTATAAAAGTTATTTCACTTGCGTTTTAGTTAATAAAAACACTACTCAAAAATATATAAAAGTGTGTATGTTTTTAAGATTTGTAAATGTTAAAGTGTGTGTGTCTATATATAAATAATTACATGATTCTAACATTTGAAAGTTTAGGCATTGGTAGAATGAATGAATGAATGAATGAATGAATGAATGACGACATTGAGCATTTTTAATTAGTTACTTATATACCATAAAATCAACCTATTAATACAGTAAATTCAATATTGTATGAACAAAGTATTTGTAAAACATGCACTTCTAAAATGTTCATACACAATATGCATACATTTCAGATGTAGGTGTTTAGTGTTTATGCAAGCATATAAAAATGTATTTGTAGTATTTGTAGTAGTAATGTATTGAACTTGCTGTATTTTGGAACAAAGGAGCTTTAGACTGACAATGTAGGACATCGATTCACATTCAGGACAGGACTAAAGAGAGAACGTGCTTCTCCCAAACATAATCGAGTACACACACACACACACACACACACACATAAACACACGGGCCAGAGGACAGTGATGGATCTTATTAATTTTAATGCTGGCCTCTGTTTTCCTGCATTTGCAGCGCTGCTGTCTCCCTCCACACAGTCCCTGATTCCTTCAGTGGCCTCTGCAATCTCTCACTACCCATCATTCTCCTCTTCTTTCCACTTTCACTATTCTTTTCATCTCTCTTTTTTCTTATTTCAGCTTTCCCTCTCTCTCTGAATGTCATATCAAAGCACAATTTATGGTGTATGTTGGTACACAGCAGGAGCCCAGCTGCACTTCAAAGTTTGATGAGAAGGATGAAAGCAACCGTCCTCATCCTCATTTGACAGACAGATAAGAGCGACCTTGAGCCCGGGTGTTCCTGAAAGCGACGGGTGACCTTGGTTGGGAAGAGCGAGAGAGGATGGATGGGACCGTGTGTGTGTGTGTGTGTGTGTCTGAGGGGACAGGAAAGCAGCGTGAGGTCTGCTGCTCTCAAACAGGACCAATCAACTCCACACAGCCGCTAATAAAGGCTGATCTGAGCTCAGCAGTGCACTCTTGGTGTGTGTCACAGGTTTCTCTGTGTACATCCCTGAATGATTACAAGAGACTGAGTTTGCAGGAAGAGAAAGACTGGGTACAAAAGATAAAAAAAGACTATTTCTTCTATCTGTTGTGTTGTCTTCACTGGATGCACGCAAATACAAATACAGCACGAGCAGTGCAGTGAGATTCATCAACAAACAAGGCTGCCTACATATGAGGAAAAGCTCTGATCAATAGCAATGTGTAAGATGTGTTTTCATGTGTTTTCAAAACAAGTGTTTTCTAAACCTGTGACATTTTTATGCAACTTTTTAGAATGTTTCACATTCTTATTTCTCATCATGTTTTTACACAAGACACTTTGCAGTGAAAATGTACTTGTCAGATTTAACAGTAAATTCATCCACTGAGTGGCAATAAGCTAAGAATACATAAACACAAGTGTGTAATTTTTGTTCAAATTATTATAATTTTTTCCCAAAAGTTTAAGGCCAGCAAGATATTTATTTATTTATTTATTTATTTATTTATGTATTTAAATTAATACTTTTATTCAGCAAGGATGCATTAAATTGATCAAAAGTGAGAGTAAATATGATTACAATGCTACAAGATTCTGTTTCAAATAAATGCTGTTCTTTTAAACTTTCTGTTCATCTGAGATGTGTTTGCAGAAATCTCCTTCAAGCAGACAGACACAAAATGGTCTGTTTGTGTTTTTTCATTACATTTTTTTTTCTAGTAAAAAATAAATAAATAAAAAACTTGTACACGTCTGACAAAAGTAAAATATAACATACTTAAAATGTATCATCGCCACAATACCGTGAAAACCCGCAAGCGGTTTTGTGATGGCGCCACCTACTGACAAAAATCATACAAAAAGGACGAAACATTGGAATAATTGGGTGGTTTCCCAAGTTCCACGATTTGTCATTCTGAATAAGTCTGATCACATTTAGTGAGGTTAATGCTTAATTCGTTGCCTAATTAGAGGAAATGATTCTACATATTTGCCTTTAATAGTGTTACAACCCAAAGTGTTTTTGTATTTGTCCACCAGGTCGTGTTGTTCTGTGAAGGTGTTGTTTATCTTTGCTCTTCAGCCCTGGATAGTTTTCTTTTTCTTTATGTATCTTCACTTTGTTTCTGTATTAGTTATCTCGATTTATTTTTTGATTAAACGTTTATTTGTTAAATTTAATTCCTTTGTAATGTTGCTTCACCTAGAGCCAGGTGGTTGTAACAATAGGAAAATGCAATTCTCATTGTGGCATGTGTTTGCAGAAATCTCCTTCAAGCAGACAGACACAAAATGGTCTGTTTGTGTTTTTTCATTACATTTTTTTTTCTAGTAAAAAATAAATAAATAAAAAACTTGTACACGTCTGACAAAAGTAAAATATAACATACTTAAAATAATACGCTTTAAAAGAATATACTTAAGTGTAAAGTGATTCTAAAGTTTTTGGACACTTATATCATATTATATCATTGAAATTAAATGAAAATGTATTAGAGTATAAGTTTATATTAAATGCAGTTAGCTGAACTTCCGAGTGTTTTTAACCCACTTAAGTAGGATATAAGAACATTTTAATGTGTCATTTCATAATTACTTAATTTCACAAAAACCTGTATCTCATTTATTTAAAAATATTTGTAATACACATTTGTAATGAAGTTGCAATTTAGTACGTTTAAAATTGATTAATGTCAAATGCAATATTGAATTAACTACAGCTACAATTTTAACCAAATATTTTACATTTGCTTTAATATGTTAGACAACACATTTAAAAAAAAGCATCCCAAAAGATTGTTAAAACAATTATTTAAAATGTACTTTAATGTAAAACGTTTCATTTAACGTGAACACAAACTGCACTATTTAAAAGTGTACTTAAGTCTGTTAAGAAATGGTCATAAAAGTGTCTTTCTCCAAGTACACTTGAGTGGCCTTTTATTTCATTAATCATATATTTTTGGTCACACTTCAGTTTGGGGAACAATTCTCACTATTAACTAACTATTAACTATGACGTATGCCTCAAACTCCTAATTTGCTGCTTTTTAATAGTTAGTAAGGTTTAGGTATGGGGTGGATTAAGCAATCTAAAATACGGTCATGCAGAATAAGGCATTAATATGTGCTTTATACAGGAAGTACTAATAAACAGTCAATGTGCTAGTAGCATGCATGCTGATAAGCAACTAGTTAAAAGTGAGAATAGGTCTATATAAAGTGTTTAGTTTGTAAAGTGTATATTTTAGTGTATGTAAAGTTTTTTTGTTGTTGTTGATATTTTCTTTTAAGATTTTAAGCACACTACAAATGCACATTCAATACAATTAAGCACACGTCTTTTTCACAAGGGCACAGTTTAGAGCAAAATAATAGAATGTAAAACAGGGGTTACTGTACATGCTGCAGACAGTGGATAACTGACCTCTCCCCTCCCTGCGATCCGCCGGGCCACGATCAGCTGAATCATGCCTCTCTTGTTGCCCTCGATGGACATGGACTTGCGGAGGGTCTCCATGGCTTCCTGATTGGTTTTCTCCAGCAGAGACTCTCCATTAACTGCTATCAGCTGGTCATTGACCCTCAGACGCCCATCCTGTGATCACACACACAAGAGCATATTAAACGTTTCATTGGAATATACAAACATTAAAAAAGAAAGTATGAGTGATGAGTCTCATAGCCAATCAGAGAGCTGCTCCTCACCTTGCAGGCGGCTCCTCCAGTGATTATAGACTTGACGAAAATGCCCAGGTCGGCGTGGCTCTCTTTCGATCTATTGCCCTTGACGCTGACCCCTAAACCGGCCGATCCCGAGTCATTGAGAGGGATCTCAAACGTCAAAAACTCCCGCGTTCCATCCGGGGTCAAAATTAATTCATCTCGTTCTTTCTAAAGAGATAAAGGATAGGCACAAAGATTTTGATCAGTTAAAGATGGAGTGTGTATTTATTTATTCAATATTAAAATCATTTTTCACAATTGAATGCACAACTAAAAGGTAAGCCACTCATTCCAGCAAAGTATATGAACACCGTGTCTGTGGGGTTTTCTAAAGCATCCCGATCAGCCTAGCATAACAACGACTCAACCAATGGCATGAGTTAGGGGCGGGGCTTTCTGGAGGTTTGACCAATGACAGGCAGGGAAGGACTGAAGCTCGTTTCCGTCATGGGATAAAAACAATATAAAAAGGTAATTGCGTCTTTTTATCTCACAATTCAAACTTTATTCTCACAGTACTGAGAAAGGTGAAATATAAACTCACAATTCTGAGAAAAAATAAATAAATAAAAAAAGTCGGAATTGCAAGACATCCCTCGGAGTTTACATCCCGCAATCCTATTTACTTTTGGTTCCATCACTTAATAAAACATTTAAATGGTAATTGCTAATTTTTAATCTCACAATTCTGACTTGCAGTTGCAAGTTTACAGATCAATTTTCTTAGAAATGTGAGTTTATATTCTGTCTTTATAGCTTGGAATTCTGAGCTTTCCTCAAAATTGCCAGGAAAAAAGTTTGAATTGTTAGATATAAACTCAGAAATGCAATAAAACGTCAGAATTATGAGATAAAAAGCTGCTATTAGCTGTGTTTATTGTTATTTTTGTTTGTTTGTTTTATTGTTTTTGTTTGTTTGTTTGTTTGTTTTATCCTGTGGTGGAAACAAGCATCTACAGGAAAGTGTTCGGAGGACACCTGTTTGAAAACAATCATTATTTTTGCAGATCCATTTTGTGACGTCAGTGGTGTACACCTCAGTATTAATATACAACACAAGTACAGGAAGCAAAAACATCAAATATACAATAGAAGAAAATACAATTTAAATAAAAAGAAAGAGTTTTATTTTTTTACTTTGTTTTGTCACTTTATAAAAGAAGGATTCTCATAGTAATTATATATTATTGTTTTTAAACAATTATTTCAGCATATTTACTGCCAAGGGAAGCATTAATGATCATAAACATCATAAACTCAAAGCTGACACACTAATAAAATGCTATTCAAGATTAACAAAATTAATTTAATAATAATATGAACACAATAAACGCAGTATGTCCTTACAGTTTAATTATGCAGAGGTGGGGCGAGATTAACACAGCGGGATCACATGACTCATTAAACAGGATGTTTACAATGGTGACTGGTTAGATCTGCGTTAGCACCCGCTGAGTGGATGCTCTCCTGTTGTTCACAGGGAAAATCAAATCACAGTGCAGAATCAAACCTATGATATATATGCACTGGATTGGGATAAAATCCAGAAATACATTTCCATATCACTATATATGATATTTGGACACTGCCATCGTTTCTAGCTGGTCTATGAGCAAGTGGACCAATTTTCAACCTAGTAGATCATCTTGGTCACAGCTGACCACTTTAGACCAGCAACAAACCAGCTAACATGTTCCAAAACTAGCTTTTTTAAGTCATTAAAAGGGATTAATTGGAGAAAATCCACTCTGTATAGCATTTTTATACATTTAAACCAAAAGTAATATGTTTTAAGAAAGGTTTAGCACACACACACACAGCTGAAGAATGCCAGGTGCTTGGCTTTAGTCCAGCTGCTGAGAGCAAAGAGGCTGGAGACGAGTTATAGAGATTCAGCCAAGCATTCAGGTGAATCTCACACACACTCACACACACACACACCCCATCATCCCGTGCCTGAGCGGTTGCCATGGCAACCCAGGTGGCTCTCAGCAGACAATAGCAGCTCTCAGGTTTAAGAACCAGCATCCAGGTGAAGGCAGCAGGAAGAACACATGCGGCGGTGTCATCCGCAGGTGCTAACACAGCGTTCACACGTGTGATTTTCACCCAGTCATTTAGTTCCTGTCACGCCGTCAACAAGTACTCAAAAGGACCACAGTCTTTCAGACTGACACAGTGAAGTGCCTCTCATCAGCTCGCTATCTTACCCCTAGAGAGGGCCGGCAGCCAGAACTGATATGCATTATGGATACAAACATGAAGAAACATCGCAGTTTTACTCCAATTCTCGCCTTTGACAGACAACACAGTTTTTGCCAGTTGTTCCGTGACAACCGAGAAATAACATGTCAAGCACTTGAAGGAGTATCCAGAGCTGACAGTAAAGACACAGAGCCTCATCAATTATGGTTTTATTTTGCTAGGCGAGTTATTTAGAGGAGCTCAGATATATAATAATCAGAGACTGTACTAATGCTTCAGGAAATGACAACATTGTGTTACTCAAATTAATCAAACAATCAATCAATCAATCAGAGAGAAACTGACAGAGAGCTATCTAATTTTATCTAATTCAGTTATTTATCAACTTTGTCAAAACCAAACAGCAAACACAACCAAACTAATAATTTATTCAATTCATATAATTTTAAAAAACATTTTAATATTGTCTTAAGAAATGTGAGCACTGCTTATCTGCACAAAAAAGCAAAAGCAAAGCAAAACAAAACAAAAAAGCAAAAGCAAAAGGAAAAGCAAAAGCAAAGCAAAACAAAACAAAAAAGCAAAAGGAAAACCAAAAGCAAAACAAAAAAGCAAAAGCAAAAGGAAAAGCAAAACAAAAGCAAAACAAAACAAAAAAGCAAAGAAAAGCGAAACAAAAAAAAACACATCAAAGCACATAAAAGCTAAACAAAACTAAAGTGAATGAACAAACACATGAACAGAAGAGAAAAAGAACAAAATGCCAATCAATTAAATATTTATAAAACTAACAAAAAGCATAAAAACAACAAAAAAAAAGAAACAATTATCAAATGAATGAATGAACAAATGAATCTGTTCGTAACATATATACATGAATGAATTGCATGAATGGAGTTATCATTAATGTCAGTAGCATACATGTGAGGCAAACTTAATTCATAATACTTTTAGAGCATTTGTTTCTGAACCTGGCATGTTTGCAAAACAAAACAAAAAAGCAAAAGGAAAACCAAAAGCAAAACAAAAAAGCAAAAGCAAAAGGAAAAGCAAAACAAAAGCAAAACAAAACAAAAAAGCAAAGAAAAGCGAAACAAAAAAAACACATCAAAGCACATAAAAGCTAAACAAAACTAAAGTGAATGAACAAACACATGAACAGAAGAGAAAAAGAACAAAATGCCAATCAATTAAATATTTATAAAACTAACAAAAAGCATAAAAACAACAAAAAAAAAGAAACAATTATCAAATGAATGAATGAACAAATGAATCTGTTCGTAACATATATACATGAATGAATTGCATGAATGGAGTTATCATTAATGTCAGTAGCATACATGTGAGGCAAACTTAATTCATAATACTTTTAGAGCATTTGTTTCTGAACCTGGCATGTTTTCTCCCTTAGGTTGGCTTATATGCAAATATGAACACAGCAATCATGCCTGGATCCGCACCAGAGTAATCGGTCAGAGATCTCCAGAACGAGGTGAACTCAGCCTGACTGAAAACTGATTCTTGCCATTCAATTGTGGTGAGAAAGTAATATGACCCATTGGACCAACGAACCAAGCTGTATCACAATTCAAAATAAGAAATGTGTTGAGCAGTGAAAAAGCAGGTGAGCGCATTATTTATCGCAGTTCATATATTGTTCATACTTATCACATATAGTGCACTCTGACCAATAGGAGGACAGTTTTACTTACATGTGACTTGTATACACATATTTTAGTACACTTTAAAAACTGAATCTCTCAGCCACACAGAGGTCCAAGGATCCCCAAGCTATGCGTCTGATGTATTGTAAAGAAACAGCTTAAAGTACCTTTCCCCAAAGTCACTATACATTTTTAATAACATGCAACAGTTTGTTTGAAGGTCTGAAAAATTGTGTTACAAACAGCAGGTTCATTTTCACAAGCCTTCATAACACTGCACATGTCTTTCACACACTGACAGAGGAAAAGTGCATGACTTTATAAAAGGCACATCCAGCTGAACCTGGCCCATTGTGCTCGGGAGTAATTAATTCATTCATAAGCAGAATGGATGGTGTGCATTCATTACATGCTTTTGTTTCCAGAGTGAGCTTGAATTATACTGTCAGTGAACAGACAATGAAGAGAAGAGCCCATGAGAGATAAGACAACACACACACACACACACACACACAGAGAAAAGCAGAGAAATAGCATTCAATCTCACTACTCCACTGGGACATACAGACAGATTATACAGAAAGAAAGAAAGAAAGAAAGAAAGAAAGAAAAGCATAACAAAAACAAACAAAAAGTTATTAACGAATGAATGAAAGAAACAAAGAACAAACAAAAGTTCTAACAAAATAAAAAAAATAACCTACTTTATGAAATAAACACTTTCAAAAGAGAGAATAGATCGATAAACAAACAAAAAAGAAAACAAAAACAAAAACTAACAAAAAGAAGGAATGAACAAACAAATCAGTGGACAAAGAAAATCAAATAAACAAACAAATGAACAAGAGGAAAAACAATCAAAAGACTAACCAAGTAACAAAAAAAAAAGAACAAACAAACAATTTAAAGAAAAAATGAAGAATCAACAACATAATACACTGTAAAAAAAAAAAGTCCCGTAAAAAAAATGGTAAATGACTGGCAGCTACGGCTGCCAAACAAGAACCGTAAAATTAAGGTAAAATATCTTAATTGAAATGAAGTGCAAAAACAATAATTTTACAGAAATGTTCATTAAAGGTTTTACAGAAAAAAAATTATTTTACAGATTTTTCCTTGTTTTAATTATTATATTTTACTTAAATGTTAGGGTTTTTGTTTGGCAGCCGTAGCTGCCAGTCATTTACCATTTTTTACGGAACTTTTTTTACAGTGTAGAGGGAAGAGAGAAGGAAGGGAAAGAAAGAAATGAAAATATTAATTTTGCTCCCTAAGAAATAAAGATATACAGAAAGACAA